GTACCAGGGTTAATGCACTAATCAGAGCATGAACATGTGGGCAAGACTTTACCTGTGTGTCTGTGCTTACATGTCCAAAGCATGACGATTCCTGACTTAAACTCAAAATTCAGTGAATCGTCTTGTTTCACAATGCGCATTCTGATGATTGATGCATAAATATGTGCAGTACAGAATGTGTGGTTCTTATACTACAGGGCCGTTGAATGCTTGAATCTGATTGGTTGACTTGGTTGATTGGCGGCAGACGACCGTGAGGGACTGCAGTCTTTACTTTCATTTTTATATTTGTTTATTTAACATTAAAAGTCTTTGAATGTTCGCCGGTTCCCGCCTCCTCCTTCCCATAACAACGAACTGCATTACGGTGTGCACTTATTTTCAGGGAAACGCACGGCTAAAGTAGTTCCGGCAGGTCTCGACCGCATTACAGCTCCATATCACTGCGCGTAGTCGACTGTAATAACGGAAAATGATACAATCCATAACAAGAAAAAACATGCAGCCCAATGTGCTTGATCTGTCTAACTTCACAATCAATGGAAACATGCAGTTTAATTGTAATAAATAAAGTATATAGTCCTATCTATAATCAATAGAAAATGAAACTGAATATATAAATAATCGCATTACCACCTCGAGTGTGCATTATTTTTCTAATAATTCAACGGCCTGTCGTCAACTATTCCTTACTTATTATCTGCTCAGGTAAGTATTTATATAACAAATAGTAATTACTGTTAAGATTTAGATTTAGTGTTTATTTAAAGGTCAGTATTTACTTTTTAAAGTGACCAGTATATAGCATACAGTACAAGGATCAGCCACAATTTTAAAAGCACCTGCATACTGGGAACAGCCCATGTTTCCAGCTCCCAACACATGAAATTCAAGAACTGGCTGTTGACTTGCTGCCTAATATACCCCACCCTTTGACAGCTGCCATTACGACGATCTGTTATTCACTTCAACTCTCAGTGGTTTTAACGGTGTGGCTGATCAATCATTTACTGTTTTGACTGATTTGAAAGACACTGAACTAAGACCAAGTCTTGGCTAGCTTGAATAATAAACACCCCCTGCTGACTGTCGAGTACGAGTATGGGATTATACTCTTCGGTCTCCCTAACAGCCCGTATCTCACTAACTCCAGAATAATGGCCTTCTTGGCATGCTTTACTGCTATGCATGTTCTTCCAGAGCTGAATATAGGCTATTCAACATGTGAAAACAATGCTACAGCATCTCCAAGCAAACAATACAGCAAACTATCTCCGTAAATGATAGTTAAGACACTTTTTATACTATTTTGGATATGTACATTTCGAAAAAAGAAATGTAAGACATTTTAAAACTTTTCCAGCACCTGCCAAGCCATGCATTTGTGTACTTGGACATTGAAGAATGTCTTTAGCTGACTTTTCCAACCGCGTGGTCATTCACAGTTTGCACATGCAAGTGTTTATTTTAATCAAGACCTTTTTCATCTCTAGCAAATGATGCAGATATGATCAACTGCTTTTATGTAAATATGCATGTCATTGTTGCTGTTTTACTGAGAGATAAACTGCCCCAAACAATTCAGTGAATGTGTGTTTTTGGACTTCTTTAAAGAGTCAATTCAAAAGAGCGATTAATTTAACAATTCATTCACCAAGCCAATTCATTAAATATATATGTATATTTTATTTCTTTGGTCTTTTGACTTTTTCTGCCAAATGTATGAGTTATGGTAATGTTGCATGCACATTTATTAGGGCTGTCAGTTAAACGCGTTATTAACGGCGTTAATGCAAACCCATTTTAACGGCGTTCATTTTTTTATCGCGTGATTAACGGTCTTTTTGGCCAAGCAAACTTTGCCGTTTTTTTCACATGCTTTTGCAGCAGGACGCGGCATTAGACGTTTTGTTGCTTCGTCCATAGATATCCATAATAAAGGCTAGATGTCTTATGGCGGAGTCTCTATCGTCATCACCGGCGGCCATCTTGTCACAGGCAAGCTTTCTGGCGGGCTCTGTGGTGCCTGATGTAAGATGAGTGATCAGCACGAACACAAATACTCTTATCTCGTTGAAATCTTGACGGATTTACAAACGGTTTGGTTTCTTACAAACGTTATTAACGTGGCTATAATTCTGGATGATTATTTATTTATACACTTATTATTCATAAGTATGCAGTGTCATAACTACATCTCTGACGTTTATAACAAACCAAACTGTTTGAAAATCGGTAGAAAAATGAGCAAGCTATGGTTATTTAAGTGCATACACCATTAAAACACAATGTTACGAGTGAGCGAGCTGCCTGTGACAAGATGGCCGCCAGGTGCGGACGTCGACCTCCATAGCTTGTTTTCATATGACGTCACGCCACTGCGTTGCCATGGCGCGAAATGCAAATGGAGGGCAGGAAGTGATTTGCTGTATTTGGAAAGCACTATAACAAACTCAAAATGCCTATGTTTTGCGTCGTTTATGGTTACTTAAATCGATCAAACCACGAGGAGTTTTTATCGTGTACCAAAAGTTGTTGTTCATAAGGGGGGAAAATGCAAGAAATTGACTGAAAAACTCCGGAAAAACGGCTTGCAAACCTATGTCTGTGGTCGGGAGCAGCCGGATGGGAAAATGCCCGTGTGTGCAGTGATCACTTCGTCAAAGGTGAGTTAATACAACTTAAGTGGCTATGTTTGTGTAACGTATAAGTTAACGTGTAACGTTTCCGAACTTTGTAAAGTCAAAGTATGTCTGTAAGACGAGGTAGTTGCTGATATCTACCGCCTCGATGGCAGGAAAATCTTTCAATTCAGTTGAAAAATCGCTCCTCTTCATAACGTAAGGATCACGTCCAACATATGTTTGATTTTTTGTTTATATCTTTCTCTTGTAATAGCGTGTAAAGTAGTACAGTACGGACTTTCCTCCATCTCGTCCATTGCGCTCTTCACTCCCTGCCCTCCATCTGAATTCCGCGCGTCATCATAATCACGTGACTGAAACCCAGCTATTGGCCAGCAGCGCGGACGAGACATCTAGCCTTTATTATGGATATCTATGGCTTCGACGACCAAAGCGCAAGCGGATCTAGCTAGACCGGAAACAAAACAACAGGCACGACGCAAATAGTTGGTTAACGTTACGTTTTGAGTGGATGACGAGCGCGAGACGCCGAAATGGATGCCAATAAGATTCTGAATGGAAAGTTTACTTTTAAAAAGTTGCCAAATGGTTCCATTGACGAGACCAAAGTGATCTGTGTGTTTTGTCGTTGTGAACTGAGCTATCATCATCGCTGCACGTCCAGTCTGAAATACCACTTGATGATGGCCAAGCACACACACACACACACACACACACACACAGCTGATGCGAATTCTCCACCCCCTCGTCAATATCAGGACCTCGTCAGTATTTCTTTCACCCTTTTATTGATGGACAGTAGGGGTGTAACGGTACATGTATTCGTATTGAACCGTTTCGGTTCGAGGCTTCCGGTTCGGTACGCATACAAACCGAACGATTCCTTGGACCATTTTTCCTGCCGACAAAATTCGCGCTGGCGCGATCACCACAACGTTGCGCAACATCAAATGGCAAGCGTAATGATAGCGGAACGAAACTGCGCTACTCATTATTGTGCTTCACGGACCGTTTATAAGTTCGGACCAGCAACATCTGTGCAGCGCGAGCCGATCTCGATCAAGCGACACTGTAACTACACAGCGCTAAGAGATCCAGTGAAGAAAACATTTGAGTTCGCCACTGAAGTAATAACATCGCTGCGAGATCTAGTGAGAAGCATTCACATTTCTCCGTTATTAACCGTAGATCTCTATTAGATCAAACAGCGCTGACGTGGACACCAGGAGAAACATTGCGCCGTGAATGAACTAGTAATACTTTACGTCCACAGACCAGCAACATTCACCATGGATTTAATATAGTAACACTAACTGTAACCAGTTTGGCTGGAATAGTGAAATGCTTTCAAGTACTTCACTTATCTTTTCAAGTACTTCACTTATCTTTTTCCAGCACTTCAAAACTCAAATATTATATAAATAAATATATGAAGAGTTCAGATGCAAAAGCCTCTAAATGCCATTTGAAAATTTCTTCTAGAATGATCATTTTTATGAAGCTTGTATATTTAAGTTCAGTAATTTCACTAAAATGACAATTAATAGGTAATCTTCATTGCCATTTAAGTGAAATTACTGAACTTAAATATACAAGCTTCATAAAAATGATCATTCTAGAAGAAAATTTCAAATGGCTTTTGCATCTGAACTCTTCATATATTTAAATGTTATTTTTAATGTGATGATGACCAAAACATTATTTGTTCATCCTTCAAAGATGACCCCCATTTATAGACCTGAAAGTTTCAAGATGTAGGAAAACTCACACTTATTTAAAACAAATTTTTTCTTTTAACAAATAGGAAATTCTCTGGCATTTCTTACTTTTTGCTGTATCGAAAACGTACCGAACCGTGACTTTAAAACCGAGGTACGTACCGAACCGTAATTTTTGTGTACCGTTACACCCCTAATGGACAGTGTTACATTGTGTGAGAGATTATTTGCTCCAAGTGAGAATGTTAGTGTGAAATTGAACACAGTATTGTCAATGTTGTTTCCAATAAAAAAACATTTGCACAAAGCAAGCCGATCCACTTTTCCATGTTGATAAGCGCATTCAAATGAGAAAAAATAATGGGACAAAAAGAAATCAAGAGACATTTGGATTAGATAAAAATGTGCGATTAATTGCGAGTTAACTATGACATTAATTGCGATTAATCGCGATTAAATATTTCAATCGTTTGACAGCACTAGCATTTAGGTTGGTTTTTTAAACCCACGTCCCCTCTAAATGAAGCTTAGACCACTAGCCTGACAAATCAGGAATCTAATATAATGCAACTCTTCATTTAGTCAGCTGTACAAAAACTTCAAATGATTGAGGCAATTTCATGAATGACCCCAGTACCTCTGCCGCTCAGCTCAGGAACAGATCCAGTCGTCACGTTGAACACAGGAGTACAATCGTTCTCGTCCTGCACCACGATTCTTAACTCAATATCCTTCTCAGCTTTACTCCCATTCAGAAACTCTGCCACCCCTCGAAGCTGGAAGACAGGAGATCACCAAACATCTCAACATGTTCAAACTGGGTTTTGGCATGAACTTACTTAAAGCTGCTGTAGGTAACTTTTGTAAAAAAAAATATTTTTTACATATTTGTTAAAACTGTCATTATGTCCTGACAGTAGAATATGAGACAGATAATCTGTGTAAAAATCAAGCTCCTCTGGCTCCTCCTAGTGGTCCTATTGCCATTTGCAGAAATACACGCTCCCGGTCAGAAACAACCAATCAGAGCCAGGAGGAATGTCTTAGCAGTGTCAATCACGCTCGTGTACGCGCTGATCACACCCCTCTCTTGCACAGCGCGAGCGCGAGCCATCGTTCAAACTCAAGATTGCCGGCGTGCTGCAGCTGTGCTTATGACGGAGAAACAACCTAAACTGCCAATTCTGACACCTGCTCATAAAACAAAGAGGTAAAAGAAAAAGACCGATGACGATAAACAAGCGAAAAAGAAAGAATTACACAGAGCCCATTGACTCGGTGTCAAAACTCTAGCGCATAACATGTAGATTAAATGTCACGCACTCTGCTAAGCAACAATTGAAACCTGCTAATTCACTGGCTTGTCATGTTGCTGAAAAGATGTACTAGCACACCTTATCTAGCATTATATATCGCTAGAATAATTACTTACATACTGTAACGTTAGTTACCGTTATATTAACGTTATCTTACTAGCTATTTATAACTTATAGAAAGAGTGCAATGTTATAAAGTTACATGTAGGCTATTGCAAAATACATAATGATTTGAGGACCAAGTTTGTAGTCAAAGTATGGGCAGGCCATAGTCAATGTAAAGCATATTATTGACGTTTAGTCCCTATTAGTGAATGTGCCATATAACTTTTTATCCGCTGTTATCGGTGGCCCTGTTTACTAGCCTGCGCGTTCACGACAGGCTCCGCTGTGGAGGACGAGCTGTGGAGGGAGGGCTGTAGCGCAGCAGAGAGCAAGGGGGTGGGACCTGTAAGTTGTGCTTGTTCAAATTTTCAGGCTAAGTCAACGTTTTCTCAAAACTCCCTACTGCAGCTTTAAGTTGTGAAATTGGATATATTCTCACCATCTATTTCACAACTTTTCACTTTTCAGTAGAAATGCTTATATATTGCCAGGCATTCATATTTCCCCACCCTTACTCTGTCATCCTTCTCCCATAACACATATGCTTGTCCTCCAAAACTGCATTCAATGAGAACAATGCAACACAAAATGACATGAAACACCCCTTCAAATAAACACAAATGGGATATGATAAACAGGAGGATAAAACAGGGTGTGCTAAAAATATCAGAGTATCGTAAAACCTCCCTTTTCAGTTTCATGCTGTTTATCTGCTCGGCTGAAGTGTGTGAACTCTGATCCACAAGCACACACTCTCTCTATCCCTTCACATTAGCTAGCTACACTACGATAAGCAAGTCATTAGTCGCCTAGTGATGATCATGTTCTTGTAAGCTGTGTAAATCAACATATTTAACTCACAGCTTAAGCCCAAAGTATGCTGGGGTTTTTTATACCTCGTAATGCAGGCAACCTGTCACTCAAATGAGATCCACCAATAGCAAACCACAACCATTCAATCTATTCCCCATGGACAAAAACAAGCCCCACATTTATTCTTGTTTCATTTCAACTTAACTTTGAACTTATTAACGTATCATGATTTCTTTGTGATAACAAATACATGCACACGCACAGTCTTTACCATGTGCTAAGGCTAAGAAAATGCAAGATATATTTTTTTTAGTATGAGCCGCACCTCATTTAGTAATCTAGTCATTCAGACAGAATGCATGACATTCATCACTTCATGACAATGAAGCTCTCCTGTGAAATGTTGCTGCGAGCTGCTATCTTTCAGACTGAGTCATCAGTACACTTTCATAGATTACTCAGGCAAGGACAAACACCCATGCAATAAACATTTACAGTCGTGCATGAAAGATGAAAGGGCTGCTCACGTAATAAATGGGAGTTTTCTCTCTGTCCAACACTCCGGTAATCCTGACCAGGCCGTTCGCACTGTTAACAATGAACAGGTTGACGGGGGGCTGGTTCGCCCCTGATCCAATCAGTGAATATCGGATACTGGTCCTGATCTCCTCGTCTGAGCGGATCTGAAATCAAATACATGTCATTCTTTAATGTGGGTTTAAAAAAACAGGAGCATCTGGAAAAGTGCTTATTTTGTGATCTGGAGAGATTCTCATTATTTCCTATTGCTCAACCCTGAAGTGTTCCCTAGTGTACTTAAGCACAATTTATTCGCATGTACTTAGTATAACTAAATGTATTTGTGGCATGCTATAAATTGGTCTGCTAAATTGGAACAACTAATTTAGTATTAAATGCATTTTAGTTGTACAAAAGCAGGTACTGAAGTTCAACTGAAGTTGTATTTTATATACTTGTTTGTGCTAAAGTGGAAGTATGCTTAAGTACACTTTAAATATACTCTTGTTTTTAAGTTTTGAAATGTAGAATTCACTACATAAACTTCAAATGTATTTTGGTGACATTACAATTGCAATTCGATTACACTACTATTATACTGATAAAAACCTTTAGTGATTTTAAAACATTGCAATGGAAGTAAACTTGAAGTCAAGTCAAGTCATCTTCATTTATATAGCGCTTTTAACAATGGAGATTGTTTCAAAGCAGCTTTACAGAGATAAACATACAATTTACGGTAACATAGATTGTTTTGGCTTTATAGCGATTTTTGAATAATGTTATTTCCAGCTAAAGTTGGTTTTGATTGATTCACTTTGATTGATTCACTTGTTCACTTGATTCACAAGTGTGCTAACGGCATCATTATAGTGTGCTTCAAATAGGCTACAATAAAGTAATCTTTATAAATAATGCCACAGCTTAAGAATTCGCCTTTTACTGACATCCTCAGTATACCAGTAACTCACTTATCCAGAGAACATCAGGGACACAATGGGAGCAGATACATGTAGGAACCACTGTGGTCTGGAATCAAACCCAGGTCTCTGAAACACGAGCTCTATCTTTTTACCAGTTGCGCCACCACGCAGATCCTGTATGTATCACGCAAAACTGGGGTTTCCCTTTCAATCGGACACGTTCGGTTACATACGTTCTTCCTTTACTGTTACAAGTCCTGCTATAAGCAAATAGGTTTTTCCATCAATGACAGCAAAAAAAAAAGTTGTGTTTGGAAATGCTGTCCAGTTAGCAGAAATAATTTCCTCACAATTTCTTTGGTTTGCACAAAAATAAAGTCTTATCTACAATTTTTTTTTTTTTTTTTTTTACATAGCATTTTCTAAAAAAAATCATTCTCAGATTTGAAATACATGGTGAGACTTGTGTCTTTTGCTGCAACGACATTTGCTGACAAATGTGCCAAATCTGCAACACACACTCCCAATAGAGTTGCTCTCTAGCGAGTTCGGTTCTGAAAGCCGATAGTTGGTGAGTGTGATGGCATTGACTTTATGGTCTATCAAGCAGATAACAGTCCGAGTGTCAACTTCTGCTTCAGCCGGAAGCTGAGATCCATAAGTGTAAAAGCCATCTGTTGTGTATAGTGTATTTTTGGCACATACATGTGTGTGTGACAAACTCCTATACACTCACCGCACACTGAACAAGCAAAAGACACAGGATAGAAGTGTTTTACATTTTTACACAACATTTTTGTGTTTATGTGGCCAATCATTTGTTGTGTTGTTTGTGTGTAGAGTTAATATGCAAAAACACCATTTTTGAAAGAGTTAAAATAGTTTTGATGTTTTGCATGTTGTGTGTGTGTGTGTTTAGTTTCAAGAAATAGTTTAGATAAATAGAGCCATAGTTTCAGAAATTGTGTGTAAGCAATTTGAAAAAAACTTAATATAAAAGGTATTGTAGGTAGGAATTTTATAAAAAAAAACTTTTTTCCACATTTGTTTAAACTTTCTGTATATATCAATGCATAATTAAAATGTAAGTACTCTGAAAAAGAAAGTATAAAAATCGAGTGTCTGTAGACCTCTCACGACTGTTTTAAAGACAGCTCATTATTTCCATTCACTCCACCCCCTCCCTTCTGGGCTCCTTCCAAAGCCACGCCCCCAAAACACATGAACGCGCGACTCCGACCGCTGAGCTGAAGAGCATTATTTACCTGAGACGAGCGGAGAGGAAGGAGCGCAGTGCATGTAGTGACATCATGTCAGAATCACATGTAATAAAAAATCTAACTTTATCATTATGAAGATAAACAAATAAGATGTATTTTAGTACTCACTATCAAGCTAGCATATTGATATTGGTAAAGTTTAAAATATATATTTATTGATTCGCTAACGAGCTAGTTATCTATAAGGCAAAGCTAAAAACAGGTTGCATGATACACGTTTTTCCATTGCCATCATTTACACTGTGATGAAGATGAATTTCGTGTAACATTCATAACATATATGGTGTTCTGCATGTAAGAGTTTCCATGATGAAAGCATTGTTGACTCTGATGAGGACTACACTCCAGAGACAAGTACCGCATCGTCAGCTCGAGGACAGATAAATCGTTGTTTATCCAAAGACTTTTTGTTCATTACCTTTTCTTTACTGTCTTCCTTTTTTTGGCTGGTTTGCCTTCGCGAACTGCATATGTGAATTTTGATTGGTCTTTCTCTGCCATTGTTTTGCTATTCCTAGGTTCCGTGCCTCTTGAATTCCTCAAATCAAACGGGTACGCGCAAATGGGAAGGTCCTGTGTGGCAAAAGGGTGGTTGCCATGGTTGCGAGAGAGTGACAGTCGCCTAAGCCAATCCTTTGTTTCGTCCCGGATGGAAATAATGAGCTGTGTTTAGTGCAGATTAAACGGTCTAGAGTCACTCGATTTTTATACTCTTTTTATCAGAGTACTTACATTTTAATTATGCATTGATATATACAGAAAGTTTAAACAAATTTGGAAAAAAGTTTTTTTTATTAAATTCCTACCTACAATACCTTTAAGTGTTAAGTGTTTAATATCACTATTAGTAAGGATAGTATGATCACTGTGTAATTTAAATGCAAGACATTTAAAGTGTACCTGAAGTGTACTACCAATAGTTCAACTTTAGCACAATCAAATAAACTTAAGTATATCTTTAGTTGGACCTCAGCACTATTTCTGGATAACTAAAGTGCATTAAGCACAAAATTACTTGTTCCAATTTATACTTTCAGTATACCAACAGTTCAATTGCAGGGTATTATGTAATGTATTTGTAGTATACTTAGCATAAATAAATGCATTTCAAATACATTTAAGTATATTTATTTTTCACTAGGGTTTATTCCCCCAGAAAACACTGCAGATCTTACTTTGGCTATGTATTCCTGCCCCGTATAGTCCTTATTTTCCATCAGTTTGTGGGGTGGGATTATCCACTCTCTCTTCTGTCGGATTTTCTTCGGCTGTCCTCCAGATGCTGAAGTGTCCAGTATCTACACAAACACAAAAGCACATCAGTGTCTATTTTACCCAAATAATGCGATAAACTACACTGGATAGGCTGTTAGGAGTAAAACAGATGTAAGAATCCAAAACATATTCAATTAAATAATACTTTAACAATTTTTTTGACAGAATTTACAGCTCGGTTGGACATGATGCGTGATTGAGGCTACATTGTTTACACTGAAATGCGAAAGTACCAAATATAAATGATGAAAAAAAAGATAAATAAACTAGTGTAAATGAAGTTTGTGTTCGTTTTAATGCCTGATATAAATGTGATTCTTAATGTAACCCTTAATTCATGTAATAATCTTTTATTTTTATCCTGATTATTTATAGTTAAAGGCATTTTTAGGTATGTTTTGTGACATGTTAATTGTTATTAAAGCTGCAGTCCGTAGCTTTTCCTCTTTGTCGCCATCTCTCTGTTCGAAATCTGTAACTGCAGTGATTCGCGGAATTATCATCTTTACGTGGGTTGTAAATCGGCATGAAACAGCGCGGATGAACACAGTGTTGTGAGGCGAGTGCTGCTGTCAGTCACCGCGCTGTGTGGATACTGGCATACAGAATCACAGATTCACTTTTTGAAAGTTTGACCAACATAAGAATTTTCATAAGAAAATGTCTTCTGAACAAGTAAGTAAAATCCATTTTTGTTCTGACCAACTAAGGGAGAAAAAGCATTCGACATGATAAGCTTCGTTAGATTTAATCAACGCGATTTACAGCAACCGTGCAAATTATAGCCTACTTTGTTCTCAAATTGTTCATGTTAACTACATCACATCAGCATTGCGTGACTAATGTTAAATTTAATGTGTTTTATAGTTACCTGTGTAGTTCAGAATTCATATTCTCCATAATAGCAAAACGAGAAAGGCACAACAAAGGAAACTCCATAACTGTGTGAATTAAGAAAACGTACTGTTACACGATTGAACTATTGAAATGTCTTACTTGTTCAGCAGAAAAAAGCCGTCTCTTCTTCCGTTTCGAACCCCTTCAAAACACGGAGTTCACGCACTTTTCAAAAGCCCCGCCGATGTTTAAATCCTTGTGTTCGCATGAGACGGTTTCTTTCTCTTTCTCTAGCCACCTTAAATCCGAAGTACGAAGTCTTTTGGGTTTTATAACTGCTGAATCTCCAGTTGACACTGATGATTGTTGTTTGGATCTTTCTGGATGCCATAAGTTTAATTATGTAAAGTGCTGCGAGAAAAGCCTATACATCTAAACATCTCCTCACGCGCAGTATAGCCGGCTAGCCGAAACTCCTTCTTTATGTGTACGGTTGTGACGTCATGACGCAAAGACATGCTCGAATTTCCCGCGGAAACCCACCAGTACCACTGGAATTAAAATCATTATTACAAGCTAACCGTTTTGAATCTAGCTATGGCAAGCAGATAGTTTTGACCACTGGCAGAATAAGTTTTTTTTAATATAATTATTTTGGATTATTTTTAACTTAAAAAAGTTACGGACTGGAGCTTTAAGCAATAGCCTAAGGCATAATATACATTTTTCATAGCTGTATGCTATGCTACTATGTAAACTAACAAAAAAACAAACAAAAAAAACACTAAGAACGAGAAATGTTTAATTTCACAATTTTATAGCTTTGGTTATATACTAGTAGCCTATATGAAACATATAATTTAATGGTTTTTATAACGTCGTAGTTTTGTCTGATTTGTAACCAGGCAATCAAGCGATTGCACACATTAGTAAGGAGTATGTTAAACTATAACTGATAGATGTCAAATTATACTGTGTTTTCCATACATTGGTTCACAATATCAACACCACCTTTTGGAAAATCTATTTGTGGTTGGCTTTGACATCGTTGAATAAACATGAGCACTGCACGGCACGTTTTTTATGAATGTATCTGAAGTGAAATGACCGTCTTTAAAAAGTTTCGATGTAATGTTCATTTAATCTTTCTTTATCTCTCCTGATAAAGCAGCGTTCATGAGCACTGCGTTCAGCCGTCACCGGGAAAACCGCTGTTTCTGCCGCTCATAAAGCGCCTCTTGATGGCAGATTTAGGATTTTTTCAATTCTAAGGGAAAAAAAGACTGACTTTTTTCCCCTCAGAATAGTTTATATCTCGCAATTCTGACTTTATAACACGCAATTGCGACTTTATATCACGAAATTCTGACTTTAACTTTAGCTGGAAGTAACATTATTCAAGAACCGCTATAACGCCAAAACAATCTGTTACCTTAAATGATATGTTTATCTCTGTAAAGCTGCTTTGAAACAATCCATTGTTAAAAGCGCTATATAAATGAAGATGACTTGACTTGACTTTATATCTCGCAATTCTGACTTTATATCACGCAATTCTGACTTTATATCAATCAATTCTGACTTTATATCAATCAATTCTGACTTTATATCAATCAATTCTGACTTTATATCTCGCAATTCTGACTTTATATCACACAATTCTGACTTTATAACCTGCAATTGCGACTTTATATCAATCAATTCTGACTTTATATCACGCAATTCTGACTTTATAACCTGCAATTGCGACTTTGTATCAATCAATTCTGAATTTCTGACCTTATATCACGCAATTCTGACTTTATTTCACGCAATTCGGACTTTATTTCACGCAATTGCGACTTTGTATCAATCAATTCTGACCTTATATCACGCAATTCTGACTTTATATCTCGCAATTCTGACTTTATATCTCGCAATTCTGACTTTATTTCACGCAATTGCGACTTTGTATCAATCAATTCTGACCTTATATCACGCAATTCTGACTTTATATCTCGCAATTCTGACTTTATTTCACGCAATTGCGACTTTATATCACACAATTCTGACTTTATAACCTGCAATTGCGACTTTATATCAATCAATTCTGACTTTATATCACGCAATTCTGACTTTATAACCTGCAATTGCGACTTTATATCAATCAATTCTGACTTTATATCTCGCAATTCTGACTTTATTTCACGCAATTGCGACTTTATATCACACAATTCTTACTTTATAACCTGCAATTGCGACTTTATATCAATCAATTCTGACCTTATATCTAGGGGTGGGCGCTATACCGGTATGAACGTGAATACCGGTATTATGTTGTGCCATGATATGGATTTTGCGATACCGAGGATACCGTATTCATAAATTCAAATTTTGCAGTTATATTGTTTTGTTCAATTTGGTAGCCTACTCCTTACAACTGTTAACACTAATGACGATACAGAATCGAATACGCTGTTTAAGGAAATGGCTGATTTGGCGCTTCATACGCGTGAAGTTGCTGAGGCGATTAACCGCTGTCCTGTGACGCGTTCAATGAAGGACCGTAACGTAGAACACATCGCTAGTGCTAAGCGGCTGTTAATAAAGGATGCATCTTTTGCGGTGGAATGGGAAATAACAAGGTAATGAGAGGCAAGTTTGACTTTTAACTTGAGCGCAGCATTTTTAGAATGCCGTTTCATTTGCGAGACGCGGGTGCAACACCAAAACAAGTTCGTCAAGCACAAACAAACGTTAAAGTTCTAGGCTACTGTATGTTTGAGATGTCATGTTTTCATGAAGGTTGAAAGCTGCTATTATTATCTTTGTTTTTACAAAACATTTACTGTTAATAATATTATCCACGTGGAGACATTTCCCCGCAATGCAACGTTAGGCTATGAATAACAGGACACGACACACACATAAGCGCGCGCATACACACACACTGGTCCACTATCTTTGTGGGGACTCTCCATAGACGTAATGGGTTTTATACTGTACTACGAACTGTAGGCCTTTATTCTGTCTCCTTACACTAATGAATTAGTTTGTATGAAAATTTTCATTGTTTTTTTCTTGTAGCCTATACTTTTAAGTTCTATTTATTTGGTGCTTTGTTCAATCTCAAACCATTATTTTATTTTTATTATTAAGATGTCTGAACAAGAGTTAACTGTAATCTGTGCAAACATTAAACTTAAATTAAACGTCTCGCTTTGGTCTACACTGGAAGTGTTCTGCTCGCTCTGCTAAAGCTAAACTATAATTACTAAAACTGAAACTAAATAAAATAAAAACTATATAGAAATGTGTTTGCAAAATAAAAACTAAATAAAAACTAACAAAACCATTAATGAAACTAGCTAAAACTAAACTGAAATTTAAAGCAAAATTGAAAACGATATTAAAATAAAACTAATTTAAAAAAGCAAAACTATAACAACAGATATTCCCGGAGACAGAGCACACCCGAAGACGGCTCTCACTCAGAAATCAGAAGTCTTCATTCGCTGCCGGTTCTCATTATGACAAGACGAGCAAAAAGTGGAAAGACATAACAAGTGCATTCAGGCCTACCTCATGTTGCACGTTTGCACTTTTTGAGGGAAAAAAATGGCACAATAATAAATAAAAAAAATTCAGGTCTATGTCCAATGAAATGCCTCACCTTTTTCTAGTTATCTACTGTTAAAATACATATTTTGCCTGTAATTTAAAATGTGATTCCAATTTTTTTTCTCATATCACGATATAATATCGATATCGTCCGGACAGTGAAAAATATCGTGATATGAATTTTTGCTCATATCGCCCACCCCTACTTATATCACGCAATTCTGACTTTATAACCTGCAATTGCGACTTTGTATCAATCAATTCTGACCTTATATCACGCAATTCTGACTTTATATCTCGCAATTCTGACTTTATAACCTGCATTTTGCGACTTTATATCAATCAATTCTGACTTTATATTTTGCAATTCTGAGAAATAAAGTCAGAATTGCGAGATGTAAACTCGCAATTGTGAGAAAAAAGTCAGAATTGTGAGATAAAAAGAAGCAATTACCTTTTTTATTTTTCATTCTGTGGCGGAAACAAGCTTACATAGGTTTACACCCAGTCATGCTTGAAAAAAAAAAAATACCGTCATATATCGTGAACCCGGTGTAATTTTTAAAAATACCGTGATATGGGTTTTAGCTCAATACCGCCCAGCACTACCTGGTGGCTACATAAAGTGCCAAGATTCGCCATAAGAAAAAATAATAATAGCCCAATTTTTAGACTGCCAACCTTTTGTTTGGACTTCCTCAAACTCGGTAATTCCCACCCTGAGTAAGATTATGCTCTTATCCTCTGGAAATCTGCTAACACAATAGTTTAACCTACCAATAATGTCTGTCTCCATAAACAAATTATGAGTGTGACATATAGCCTATACGTTTCTTCAGTGAATTTCTTTCCTAGAGTTCATTAATAAGACACTCATGTCATATCCCCTCTCAGACTATCACACATCTGTGTAAGAATGACCAGCAGAGAGAACAAACACACACACCCACACACAGACACACACACACACACAAGTTAATATAAACAGAAAACAACCATGTACGCTCTTAAATCATATATGAAACAATTATTTTATATTAGCACAGATTGATTGAAGAGTATTGATAGAGTGTTTAGAAAACAATCCAAAATGAAACAAACGAAACTTTCAGGATAGACAGATTTAAGCTTATATTCAGGTCAGCATGAACACTGGAAACAACTTTTGAATGTTTTCGCTCACCGCCAGACTCAGCAGCACCAAGAAGAGTGCGATCCCGCAGAGCTTCGCCATTCTCCGGCCGCCGCTCCTGCCGTTACTCGCGGAACTCTGACTCCTCGGTCACGGACTGACTAACGGTCAGCGGGGGAGGGGGCGGGGCTTCTGGCGCGGAAGAATGCGGGGTATGCGCGAGAGGGAGACAGTCCACCGTCACACCCAATATACAAGCACTTACAAAATAATTTAAATCAATCTTCTAACTGGACACTCGGATAATCTTCATTAATGTGGGAATTCTGTGTAATAATTATGGTACGTGTCAGTCAGTGCCCTGATAAGTTTGCAGTAAATTGTGTGTTCAGACTTTCTTATTCCTTGGAAAAAGACAGTATAGTTAATAAAACAGGGGGTTGCTTGCATACTTTTTAATCCCCCGCCCCTAAACATTATTATCTTCCCACTTGAGGTGCGTACCTTTTTATTTTATTTTATAAAACTATTGCCTGTCCGCATCCAACTAAAAGAAGTCCTGGGGGCGTTTGCATAAATTAGTCTTACAAGTTAGTCATCGATTTTTTTCAGTTTCATAAAAACGTACATTGGCCTAATGTGGGACTGAAAAGTAAGACTAACCGTCCCTTGACTAACTGGTAGTGGGTCGTACTAGATCTTAAGACACTGACTTAACATAATGGCTGAGTTTATGTAGCCTACTGGCCCCTGATTTCTAGTTTGTATTCTTTTCTTAGTATTTCTAAGTAGCTACACTGCAAATTGAAAAAGACAATTTAATACCCACAGAATTAAAATGAACATTTTCTCAGTGTATGCCTAAGAATCACCATTAACATGTTGAATTTGTCAACTATAAATGAACACAACTGTTACTCTGTAATACAAAAACTGCAAGAAATAGCACTTGAATTTTTCACACACAAAAGGAAGTCAGTGGACTCATTATGTGCTCTTTTTGGCCAGAATGATTGGAAATGAAGGATTTGCAAGTATGTCGCAGGACAAGAGTTACCGCTACAGTGTGAATAAATGGCATTGCACAGAGGGTGTGGGGGTGGCAGGGATTTCTATAAAACCGAGTTCAGGTTAAAAAAATGTGCTGCTGCCATCAGACCCGCAACAGCCTTTGAAACTGATTGACAGTGAGTGACTGGCCTATCGGTTTACTGTTGACAGGATCGACTCGATGCGTGCAGGAGAGACGTGCTTGCATAGTGATCGAACCCCATTCCACGCCTAGAAAAGTGGTTCTCTGAACTGGAGAAAGTACACTCTTTTAGTCTTTCAACCTCAACCCTGACCTTTCCATGTGCGCGAGAACGACATTGATGCTAACTGATGCGACTGAGCTTAAATCAACCATTCGTCAATGTAGTTCAGAATGTGTCTGTCTTGTGCAAGCAGCGGTGCTTGTGCTGCAGCCACGCATTTGGTTAAAAGGTGCGGGGTGATAAAGCTAGACCAAATGGAAGAACCCGATAACATTAAAAAATCCAACTTGCAAATTGTTAACTCAGTTAAAATATTTAAGTTGAGTGGGCAAATTTGAGTGCAATGTTGAGTTTACTTATAAAAACTATTTAACTGCAAGTGTACTACTACTATTTTGTCCAATGAACACAAACAATTAAGTTGAGAAAACTTAATATTTTTATTTCATAGTTCGAACGTTTAACTTCCCGTCATCGCTCATGCGCAGTCTGTCCCACTGTACGTTACCCAACCACGCTATCGAAGGGACTGGATCTCATCTGATTGCGGTACATTTTCTTTAAGCTTTATGAATGAAAATAGGCTATAAATTGCACACATATGTTGATAAAATATAGCATTATGTTAAAATATATATTTCGTGGTGACGATAGGCCTAAGTTTCTATTGTTAGATATTATCCACGTAGCAATTTGCTACTTACCGTTATTGTTACCTAGACTAGAGTGAATTGACTAGATAAGGATGTTAAAAATGTTAAGCTCGGCAAGTCGTGAATAAAGACTAAAATGCGGTGCTTGTGCTGATTGAGAGACAGAAAGTGTCACGGAATGGTCAGAACTGAGTCGAGGATACAAAAGCAGGATGAGATGATTATTAAATACTACAAAATAAAACAAGCTATAAACAAAACAAACCTGAGGGGGAAACCAAGAGGTCTCGGGCAAAAACAGGTAACACAAGGAAACAAGAAACATTGACAACGAACCAGCACAGGACAGCAAACACAGGGAGACTAAATAGGGGAACAAACAAAGGAGGGTAACGAGAAAGACAGGTGGGACAAATTAACCAATAATCAGATAACAAGATGGGAGGGGCTAGACAATAGACAGGAGAACACATGGCACAAAAGAAACACATGACATAACCCATGTGCTCACAATAAACAGAACTAGAACACAAGCACATGACAAACCGGGAATGTCAGAGCTCTGTCACCCACTAAGATAAAACCAGACAGAAGTGACAGAACCCTGACAGAAAGCTGCTTCGTGGCTTATTGTGATTCAATAGTGAAATACACATACAATTATGTCAACAACAACAACAAAAAACACCGTGTGTATAATATTCAAGTAAACACAGTCGGCAATGTTTTAAGCCCCATACACACCAGGACGAATATCGGCGCGCGTTATTCGTCAGCGTTTTTCAACGCGTTTTTTGTGTTCACACCCAAGCGATTTTCGCTGACGTTGAGCGAGTGAACATGCAAATTCATTACCTGACATTAGATGGCGCTTAATGTAAAACAGAAACAGTCCTATTTTGTAGTCGCTGTCGCGTTTGTCGTATAGTTCTTTATGTTCATATAGAACATATGTTCATACGTTCATGTCGTATAGTTTTGATACGGTGGACCATTCAATCCTCCTGACCCGTCTGGCCCAGCAGGTGGGCCTTCAAGGACCCGTGCTGCAGTGGTTCAAGTCATATCTTGCAGATAGAACCTTTTCTGTGATCTCTCTTCTTCTCCAGCCCCATTTTCCTCTGGTGTGCCACAGGGTTCGATCCTCGGCCCTGTTCTATTTTCCTTGTACATGCTCCCCTTAGCTTCTGTGATATCCCGGCATAATGTCTCTTTCCATCTGTATGCAGATGACGTACAAATCTATTTGCCAGTTGCCCAGAACTCCCCAGACACACAGTCCATTCAGACATGTCTGGTTGACATTAAACATTGGCTGTCACAAAATTAGCTCTGTCTAAATGAATCAAAGACTGAATTTATCCTATTTGATGCCTCTAGTTCAACAAAGGCAGCTCCCGATCTTGCACCCCTGACCACCCACCTCAGTTTTGTAGTCAGGAATCTAGGGGTGATTTTGGCCAATAATCTGAAGCTCGATAAACAGGTAGACTCTGTGATCAGGGCAAGTTTCTTCCAGCTTCGTCGGTTGGCCAAAGTCAAACCATTCCTCAGCTGTAGTGACTTCGAGAAAACAATCCACGCTTTTATTAGTTCACGCTTGGACTACTGCAATGCTCTCTACATCGGGTTAAATCAGGCCTCTCTGCACCGTCTACAGCTTGTCCAGAATGCAGCGGCCAGGCTTCTTACCAATACCCGTAAACATGACCACATCACTCCTGTCCTGCACTCTCTCCACTGGCTCCCAGTCGAGTTCAGAATCCAGTTTAAGATCCTACTGTTCGTTTTTTGCTCCATCCATGGCCTTGCACCTCTTTATCTGTGTAATACGCTGACCCTTTATTAGCCCAGCAGAGCCCTGCGCTCTTCTGAACAACATCTGCTGGGGGTCCCAGGGTCCAGGTGCAAACAGTGGGGTGATCGTGCCTTTGCGGTAGTGGGGCCGAAACTCTGGAACGCTCTGCCCCTGGAATTACGCTCCATCAAGGACCTGCCCCTGTTCAAGGCTGGGCTGAAGCACCATCTCTTTAGTTCGGCTTTTGACAATTGATGAAAAACTGATTAGCATAATGATTTTATAGATGTGTTATATTTTATTTTATTGTATTGTCTTGTATTTCACTTCTTTATTTTTTGTCCTGTACTTTTTGTCTCTGTCCAGCGCTTTGATCAACTCTGGTTGTTGTAAAGCGCTTTATAAATAAAAATTGATTGATTGATTGATGTTCCGACACCAACGTGACCAGCAGCTCTACATTCATCTTGCCTTGCATCTTCCTCGTCTTATTTCTTCCCGGCAGTGTAGACCATAGATATCCATAATAAAGGCCATTGGCCAGCAGCGTGGACGAGACATCTAGCCTTTATTATGGATATCTATAGTGTAGACGCTACTTGGCGCATCTTCTTCACCGTTACGTCTGTGTGCTCAGTAAGACCGTTTTGTGTTTGAGCGCCCCCAAGTTGTGTTTTACTGTAACTTCAGAAGCTCCAAACACGTGAGCAAAGGCGCCAATCTCATTGGTCGGATAGTTTTTGCGTCAAACCAAAAAAAACGAATCCGAGGCGTTTTTTAAAAAATGACGCTTTTACGCCTGGCGTTTTTCGTGTCGGTGTGCACACTCACATAGGCGCCCTTTGTTTAGTCACAAGGCGTTAAACGTCGACCCGGTGTTACCGAATATCGCGCGCGATATATGTTATGTTACACTGAACATAACCAATTTGGTGAAACCCAGATGTTTCAGTATTAGATCCATGCATGAGCTCTTAAAGTGACCGCAGTCTGTTCAATTCAATTTAATTTCAAGTTTATTTATCATGTATACAAATGTCAGCTACAATTTGTACATGTTGAGGCTCAGGCATTCTACAGTAGTGCAATAATTCAATACAAGTTAGAGGAAAAACAATAATATATAGGCCTATATATGCTAAACTAATGTGTTATGTTAAGAATATGCATGTTAGCTTTGTATATTAAATAATATAATGGGTAGTATGTGTGCAGTATGTTTTAAAGTGAAAGTGGATACAAATATTGTGTATCCTTAATTATGAGACACCGATGAGTCATCAACGCACTCACAGTGCACTGCCACGTCACAGCCGGTGACGTGGACACGATGAAGATTTTAAACCCGGAAGACGAAAAAAGCGGAAAAACTCAAGTTTAACCCTACTATTAGATCTAACTGATGCTAACATTGTCTTCAATGGTGTTCAACACGCATACCTCTGTAAAAATCTCAGAAAATTTGGTTTGGGGTTTCATGACCCTTTAACACAACTTTCCCTGATTAGACAGCATATAGTCAAGGAAGTTGATTTACGAAGGATGAAACAATTCTGTCGACACAGAGGATAACCACATGTACTCCACAGAAATGCATTGAACCAAAAACTCCAATCAAGCAAAAACATTTCATTAAACATAAGATTTATTTGGTGATAAACAGGGAACATTACATTCGAATAAAGCACTGAATTGATCTGTAAAAGAACTTCAGCGCGAGTTCGGCAAAAATCAATGTCACGATTTACATTGGACATGATGGTGATCGTGACCGTCGTGGCGATCGTGACCGTCGTGGTGACCGTGAACGTCGTGGCGACCGTGAACGTCGTGGCGACCGTGACCGTGAACGTCGTGGCGATCGTGACCGATCGTGACCGTCGTGGTGATCGTGACCTTCGTGGCGATCGTGACCTTCGTGGCGATCGTGACCTTCGTGGCCTTCGTGGTGATCGTGACCGTCGTGGTGATCGTGACCGTCGTGGCCTTCGTGGTGATCGTGGCAGCCGTGGCCGTGACCAAGGTTTCCGGCACACTCAGGGTGCCTTGGCAGTTCGGCTGCAGGTTTTGGAGGTTCGGAGGCAGGCTTCACTGGAGGCTTTGGCGGCTTGGCCGCAGGCTTCACTGCAGGCTTTGGCGGCTCGGCCGCAGGCTTCACTGGAGGCTTTGGCGGCTTGGCCGCAGGCTTCACTGCAGGCTTTGGCGGCTCGGCCGCAGGCTTCACTGGAGGCTTTGGCGGCTTGGCCGCAGGCTTCACTGCAGGCTTTGGCGGCTCGGCCGCAGGCTTCACTGCAGGCTTTGGCGGCTCAGCCGCAGGCTTCACTGCAGGCTTTGGCGGCTCAGCCGCAGGCTTCACTGGAGGGATACAGATAGTCATCTTTAGTATGTCCTTTCAGTGGCATTAAGCACAAAACTAAAATCATGAATAGCAAGTGTTTCAGAGTGAATTGTATTTTCATCTTTATTATTCATTTTGTAAAGCTCTTCTGTGAAACTGTGCTATGTGTGGTAAATTGCAGTTATTGTTGTCATGGAGTAGGATATGACAACAGAATTATAAAAGACAACACTGGGGTGGGGTGGGCTTGGGGAAGCTGACCCAAACACTCCATAACCAAGGACAGTCACTGTCATAGTAACACAACTTGGCACAATTTCCTCGTTACTTGCAGTTTCTTTGCAATTATTTGTGAAGTTCACTAGCAACGTCTGAGTGAAATCTTTCAGTGTTTCTTTTGGAAGACCTCTAGCATCCATCATTAAATGAAACTCACTGAAAACAGGTGGCACACATGCGGGCCCACAGGGAAATTGACAGCATTTATGTCCTCCAGAGCAGTCTCTATCAGAAGTACATCCTCGACTGGATGGCACGACTGTCAGCATCACCGGACACTGACCGGACTCTACAGAAGAGGATTCAAGAGGATCGTTAAAAGGGACCAGGGAGTGTTGTAATGGTTTCAGTATTTATAAGTCAGGGGTTTTGAAATAGGTCTCAAACTTGAAAATATGCAAATCTGCTTAAAATCAAGAATAAATTCCATTTAAATCACTAAACTATCAATCAGTTTTAAAGACAAAGACTGCTGTTACAACCTACCCCACTACTGGTGGGGTGTGTAATATAAGCACAATGCAGATAGAAGACATTGACAGTTAATGTGTTTTTCATAAATTTACTATTGCAACTAAGTGTACTGTAGCTACATGTTCAAAAGAAGTCATATTTTGTAAGGCACTTATTTATACATTTCTTCAGACTGTGTAATGAAGCTAAAAGATCTTCTCACCTGCGACTTGTGTTGTGCACAAGCATGCAGACAGGCACAATAAAACGACACTCAACGAGCAGTACACTCGAGCTGTCATCCTCTCGACCTGTGATCTCACAATAAGCTCTGCTGGAAAACGCGCTGAATTAGTCAGTCAGAAGGACAGTGAGGAACACAAACCTACAATGCAAATATGTGCTACTGAATCCCGCAACATAAATCGCTGTATAAAAGTTTTCTGAAAACGCGTTTTTAAAGATCCAAGGAGGTCTGGATAACTCCAACCCTGATCAAACTCACCTGCCTGTAGCTTTCTAGTAGCCTTATCTTGAAGACCTTGATTAGCTTGTCCAGGTGTGTTTGATTAGGTTTGGAGGAGCAGAGCACTTCGTTCACGCCAGATGTCGTAATAACCGTAATTAGTATTAGGCTATGATTAATACCTTGTCCAAATACCCACACTTGCAGTCTTTGCACTTCACTTGTCTACTTGCATGACGTCTAGCCTACTTGGCGCAGGTGTTTAAGTAGGCGTAGAGACTACAAGTGTAGAACTTTTGATTACTCGATTCGACACACTTATATAGTCTTGCAAAAAATGCAAGTGTTTACAGAACTTTTATTTATTATATTTTCAATGCTTTGCATTTTTTTTTAAAACGTACACGTCTGTTCAGTAGTCGGGCGTTTCTTCACTTTTAGCTTTGTGAAGTTGAATAAAAAAAACTTGTTCAAAAGTCACGTAACACAGTCTCATAAGTTTAAATAATTTGTCTAGTTTTAAGGTCTGTAAGATGACAAACTTAGATTACAAGAGAATTTTTTTTTTTTTTTCGACCTGCCATGAACAAATGTCATTTCCACCACATTTCAATATACAGCTGTTATGTAAAAATAGAATAACTCATGCCACTCAAGAATGGTTTAAGATCATTTTTGTAACTAGTTTTCCACTATGTACAATAATTATACATTTGTCAATGAGATAAATACAATGCCCTAAGGACCAAATTCTGAACTGTACTCTTGTCACACTTTAAAATGTAATATTGGTTTGGGCAAGAGCTTATTAGAAAATACTTGAAAATATAGAACTTGAATTTCTATATTAAGTAGAGCATGATCTCATAAATTGTGGATACATTTTTAATGTGTGATGATAACTTTTTAAATATTTTAAAAAAATGTGTGTGGTGATGGAAATGACAGGGTGTTGTGGAAATGACACTGAATTAACGTAAACGTATAAAAACAGTAGAGATATTTATTAGAAAAAAATTAAACTCATCACACTCATTAAACTCAATTCACAAAGTCATTAAACATAACCACCTGTTTTAAGTGTACTGCTGAGTTTGATGTATAAAACTGATTTGTCTCACAGATGAATGGTTACAATGCATACTTAAATAAAAATGGATACAAATTAAATCAATTAATATTAAAATAATATAATTTAGAAATAAAAATAATATCATAATCCATCCATTCATACATCTTCCGCTTATCTGGGGCCGGGTCACGGGGGCAGCAGTCTAAGCAGAGACGTCCAGACTTCCCTCTCCCTAGACACTTCCTCCAGCTCTTCCGGGGGAATACCGATGCGTTCCCAGGTCAGCCGGGAGACATAATCCCTCAAGCGTGTCCTAGGTCTTCCCCGGGGTCTCCTCCCAGTGGGACGTGCCCGGAACACCTCCCCGGGAAGGCGTCTAGGAGTCACCCGGAACAGGTGCTCGAGCCACCTCAGCTGGCTCCTCTCGATGTGGAGGAGCAGCGGCTCTACTCTGAGCTCTTCCCGAGTGACCGAGCTCCTCACCCTATCTCTAAGTGAGCGCCCAGCCACCCTGCAGAGAAAGCTAATTTCTATATCCGTGATCTTGTCCTTTCGGTCATGACCCCCGGTAAATCGAGAGCTTCGTCTTGCAGCTCAGCTCTTTCTTCACCACGACAGACCGGTACATCGACCGTGTTACTGTAGAAGCTGCACCGATCCTTCTGTCAATCTCCCGTTCCATCCTTCCCTCACTCATGAACAAGATCCCAAGATACTTGAACTCCTCTACTTGAGGCAGGAACTCTCCACCAACCTGAAGCGGGCAAACCACCCTTTTCCGACTGAGAAGCATGGGCTCAGAAGCTGCACCGATCCTTCTGTCAATCTCCCGTTCCATCCTTCCCTCACTCATGAACAAGATCCCAAGATACTTGAACTCCTCTACTTGAGGGAGGAACTCTCCACCAACTTGAAGCGGGCAAACCACCCTTTTCCGACTGAGAAGCATGGGCTCAGAAGCTGCACCGATCCGTCTGTCAATCTCCCGTTCCATCCTTCCCTAACTCATGAACAAGACCCCAAGATACTTGAACTCCTCTACTTGAGGCAGGAACTCTCCACCAACTTGAAGCGGGCAAACCACCCTTTTCCGACTGAGAACCATGGGCTCAGACTTGGAGTTGCTGATTCTCATCCCAGCCGCTTCACACTCAGCTACAGACCGTCCCAGTGCATGCTGAAGGTCCTGGTCTGATAAGGCCAACACGACAACATCATCCGCAAAAAGCAGAGATGAAATCGTGTGGTCCCCAAATCGGACACCCTCAGTGCCCTGGCTGCGCCTAGAAATTCTGTCCATAAAAATTATGAACAGAACCGGTGACAAAGGGCAGCCCTGCTGGAGTCCAACATGCACCGGGAACAAGTCTGACTTACTTCTGGCAATGCGAACCAAGCTCCTGCTCGCACAGGGACCGGATAGCCCTTAGCAAAGGGCCCCGGACCCCATACTCAGAGACCCCATACCCTCCACAGGACGCCGCGAGGGACACAGTCGAAAGCCTTCTCCAAATCCACAAAGCACATGTGCATTGGTTGGGCAAACTCCCATGCACCCCCCAGCACCCTGGGTATAGAGCTGGTCCAGTGTTCCACGACCGGGACGAAAAACCTTACTCTTCCCCCTGTAGTTGGAACACACCCTCCGGTCCCCCTTCTTAAAAAGAGGGACCACCACCCCGGTCTGCCAGTCCAGAGGTACTGTCCCCAAACGCCACTCGATGTTGCAGAGGCGTGTCAGCCAAGACAGCCCCACAACATCCAGAGACTTCAGGTACTCAGGGCGGATCTCATCCACCACCGGTGCTTTGCCACCGAGGAGCTTTTTCTTAACCCTCTGGGGACCAAGAATGCACCCGTGCGTTTTGGCAGATTTTTTTCACATAGCAGAAAAATAGATTTAAACTACTCCATCATTTCTGGTCATACAAAGATATGAAACATATTTAAAAAAAACTTTTAAATGTCTACTTTTTTATGTGCCCACCTACAATCGAAATAAAATATTGTACTTTTGTAAAATAAAGAAAATAAACAGGGTGTGCCGCGTTCTGCCTCTCCGTGTCCGTGAACTTTTTTTCTGGAGCACGTCTCTAAACTTAAAAAAAACCCTCAGCTAATACTATTCACCCAGACATGAGCAATATATGTTTATGATCATTTAAGTTTACTTTTAAATTATCTCATTTAAAACAAAAATAAATATTCCCTGTTTATGTAATCTATATAAAAAGAGAGAGGTGTCAGCCGTTCTCATTATCGTTCTCGCATCTCATTATTCCGCTAATGTGACACGCCCACGGAGAGCGCGCGCTATTCAAACGCTAATGATCTGAAGCAACACATTGAGACATGTAAAACGCCCATACAAACTCTGTAAACACACTTTATTTAGTCAGATTAATGTACTGTCGTTTGGCGCGGCTGTGAGGTATAATCCTGGGACATTTACCTACCTTAGAACAAGTGCTGGTTTATTTTCACTTCGAGGAGCGTGCTGAACTGTAAGTGCTTTATTCTTGTGCTTTGTTCTAATCGCGATATATAATAACGTTAGTGTCTGTAAACGCAAAAATAGCCTACTGTTTAAATTTGAATCATGTTTCTGTGTGTGTGTTTGACTAGTTTAGGATCGATTATAAAGTTTTAACTCTAAAATAGACATCAAATAAGCTTTTGTTAGCAGTTTCTGCTCATATGTTAAATATATAGTATGTTTTGTCAAAAATAAACTTATCAACTGTTATAGTGTTTGTTCCAGCTAGGCTATATCAAAATAATGAATCCTTAACTTTTAAATATGTATAATAAAAAATTTATTTGGCATACTTTAAAAAATAATACTTTATAAGAGATTTATGGAAAAAGACCATTTTCTTTTCAAGATGTTTCCAACTCTAACTTTGAACCAATTCTATTGAATGGCCCATATATGCTATTTGAACAGGATTTGTTTCCAGGTATGACTAAAAATGTGCTTTTGACTTTCATTTATATTTTGATTTTATATATATATATATTATGTCTGTGTGTGTGTGTATATATGTATATATATTTTCCTTGCATTCTTTCTTGTGACACACCTGAATGAAATGAATGCATCTTTGTCTTCTCAGATGAGAATCACCTAATTATACATGAGGGGGTTGGGCCGTTCACGCCCATTCGCATATTGCCTTTCAAACAAAAATTTTTTTTTTCACAATTTAAAGCAATCTATGGTGTTATGTGAATGATTAGAAAGGATGATTTTCAGATCATTTTGAAGCAAATACTCTAGGCCACAACTTCCATGAGTCAAAAGCCTTGTGGACAAATATTTAGTATGTGTATTGTGGCCTTATTTCAGAAACTTGAATTTTTAGTTTTATCAATAAACTTGCATAAACAATATTCTCTCAAAAATACAAACATGTACATACATGTTGCTTACATATTATGGTAGCCCTCTTTGTGCTAAATAGAGTGTAATTTCACCTGTGCCAGTAATATGTTTATAAGCAACTGAAAAAAGCACAAATGTCAGGGCATGTCAAAACATCTCAAGGACCCCAAAAACACCTTGGTCCCCAGAGGGTTAAACAAATATTAGGCTAAATCCTTAATGTTAATCAATTAACAAAAGATAAAATTGCTATAGTACTATAAGAGCAGATTGGGCTGGATAATGTGCAAGACCTTGTCCTCTTGGCTTGATTTATGCCCTCAATGTGAACTATCCTAAAGTATTAAAATTAATAGCTGCAATCCATATGGATAATTGGAAGGTTGAGCATTTATTTATTCCAGTTTGTACTCTAATTTTGAGCGTAGTC